GCCAGGAGCCCCTAGTAGCGACGCCCTTGTTAGTAGCGATGCCAGGAACCCCTAGTAGCGATGCCCTTGTTCCTGGTAGCAAACAAGTCACTTCTCGTCATTTGACACTTCACAAAACTGTGAAAACAGGGCGGCACGACTGGCCACACGTCCAAGTGCCGTCACCTTGGTTGTTAAAAAGGGTCATGTGACAAGGCTTCTCAAAAGTGGCTTCCTGCCAACACTCAGGTCCCTAAAAGGTATCCCTAGTGGCAAGTCCTTAGGTCCTAAGCTAGCAGGTTGCGAACAGATTGCGATCTAGCAGGTGTTTCTTCTTTTTGCTACTGCTCTAACAGTCCGTCCCTTTTCTGCGCCTGAACCTGTCCAGTGCGCTTGTCGTACTTGATGAGGTTGTTCTTGTCGAGCAATGTCAGCGCACTATGGATCTCGGCCGAAAGAATCGGAACGAAGCTTAGAAGCTTGGTACTAAGCTTAGTAAGTAGAAGCTTGAAAAAAGAAGCTTAGTCTGTTTTTTGCTTCCGGAATCGGTTCGTAACAAGAAGCTTTCTAGTTCACAAGAACATTCGGTCTCTAAAGCCCGGATGAACTAGAGCACAAGCGCAACTAGGGACGCAGTCGTCAGGGCCTGGTTGCACTTTTGCTTCAGATGCTTACAGTAATTCTTTGTTTTAAAAAAGACTCTAAAATCGGCGTCAATTCTTCGCATTGCAAGTTCTGCTTCGCCAAAACCAGGGTGCCAGGTCACACACTTGGCCCTTCGCCAGTGCTAGACTCTTCTCGTTACAACGTCAAAATGGAGCGATACATCGAGGGCTCCCTAAGAGCAAAGCGCTAGGCAGAGAAACCGTGTTACTAATAAGAATGCTCCTAGTAGCGATGCCAGGAGCCCCTAGTAGCGTCCTTGCTCCTAGTAGTAGCTCGAGTTTAGATCGGGTTAGCACCTGGACGAGACCGATGACAAGCTGGTTCGAGTCTTTTTGGTTCGTGGAAGACCAAGAATGAACGACACAAACGGATACAGAATGGTATGGATTCGCAACCTTCATTGTTCCACCACACCTTGTGACTAAACATTCAACGCAGCAACAATCCGGTGGCTCAGAAACCGCACCTATTGGCCCCCGAGTTGCACACAAATGCTCGCATGCAGTCCCACTCACCAAACAAATCACGCTTCGCTGTGAGTTCTTTGTTCTTCTACTGTTTTTTGGGGGACAATTGGGGTTGGGGCCGAAGAAGTCTATATTAATTGTAGTAGTCACTGGTGCAAAAAAACATTCTGAACGAGTTTTGAATAGATTTTTGTTTACGTATGCCAATCCTGTATTGCAAAAATGTCTGGGCATCTTTGTCCATCTTACATCTCTCGTCTTGTCATGCCGTCACTGCTTTGCTTTTTCCTGCTGAATTTTGCAAAATGATCTGTTCTGCTCTTGACAAACTCGACCAGTTCTTTGAAAACACCAGTTTTACCTGATCTGTTGGAGTACATGTTGTAAGTATTTTTTGAGAACAAGTAACCATTTTTGAGAATATTATGTTCTTACAGAATACATTTTGTTCGTTCTTTTCTCCAAGGCACCAAGTCTACACGCCTCTGCTCCAGCAAGCGATCCTCCTCTGCCTCATCTGGAGAAATGCCGTAGAGCCTGGGGGCACGCATCATTCGGACCTCAGCAAGGTCCGACAGAAAACATCAAAATAGGAAAGAAAACCGACTTCATGAACTTGGAAAGTGCGAGCAACGAAGGCGAGTTTATTGAGCGTTCATACCTATGCGACCCCAACGTCGACCAAAAATTTGCGGAGCGACTGGCTCGATCTGTTCCTGCGTGACAGGAAAAGAGATCGGGAGTTCATCAGGAAAGTGTGAAGTGCGTCTCTCAGCCCTCGGTTTTCTCGTGGCTAATAATAGGAGGACAAGAGAGGGAATTTACAGCAATCAGAAACCTTTGAGTTGCTCAAGGGTGCCCTTTTTCTGGTGCAGAGGGCGATTAATTAGATGACAAAGGGCGCCCCTTCGAGCTGTGGATGTCCGCAGGAGTTGGGCTTTGGTATGGATCGGAGTTCCTCCTAGTCCTATGCACTGTAAAAGTGAATGGGAGGTGACCCAGGCATTGCATTTTTTTGTCCAACTACAAAACAGAAGAAACAAACAGCAGGCAAGCGCCCCTCCGTTACTTAAGGGTGCCCTTTTTCAGCTTGAAAATGCCCTTGAACCTACTTATAAAGGGCACCCCACCCCCTGTGCTTGGTAGGGTTCTAGGTTCCCCTAGACGTGTCTATGCTATACATGTGTAGCACCTTTTGCTTGTATATAACTTTGTCTGTATCTTCTTTGTTGTAGAGCTTAATTCACTTGTCTTTTGGCTCAAGATTCAGCCCGCACGCGCTCTCGAATGAACCGTTTGGGGCTATCTTGGTGTTTTCGAATAGGTCCAGCTTGTAGGCTATACTGCCACTTTGGGGGATTCACCCCTCAAAGTGGTAGCGGAGCTTGTGTCTCCTTCTTCGCTTCGTGCAAATTCGCTTCGTGTGTGTTTTCCGGACAGGAGACAACCGAGGATTACCACTGTCTCAAAAAGAGTGACCATGCATGGTCCAGATTCTAGATCATTAACATAGATACGGACAACGAAACAGAGTATAGTCAGGAAGAGTCGGAACCTGATCAGGCATTCGCAGCGTCAAGCTCAATATTCCGAGCTCAGCAATCAAGAGCCTCAGGTTCGACGTTCCGGCCTGACGAAACACAGCCAAAGCCAGGAGTGAAGATGACTCCGACAATTCCCCCATCCTTTGATGGACAATCGTCGTGGTTGAGTTTGAAGATTTGATAGACGATTGGATAAGCATTTACCACACTTTCCGCAGAAAAGCGTGGTCCTTCGCTGAAGAACGCTTCGACCGGAAATGCAGAGTATTATTAAGAAAATGCTCGGCAATCAGCGTCTTCACGACGAAAGGTACGGTATTAACTACGTTCTTTAAGGATACGCTGCGCCCGTACTTTGTCAAAGGAGCCAATGTTCTCCTCTGGCGCTTCATGTAGCTTTTTCGGACTTGGCGCGGAATTTGTTCGTTGGATCGCACGTTTTGAAGTCGCAAGTACTTTCAGAATGACCCAGCACCCTCTGAGAGCCTCTGGGTGGATCTCAACTGCAATCGACATTCTCGACCAGGGTGACGCGCCGATTCTGTTCAGCGTTGAGCAACCTTCGCACGGCCATTGAGCATACACCGGTCGGTGACTTTTTGACTTGCCCATTGTTCGACCTGAAGCATTTTTCGTTGCCAGTGAGCACTTCGAACCATAAATAATGTCTTAGGCATCATGATGTTCACCAGCTCCTCTCGTAAGCCGAATCACAGCTTCACAGCCTTGAACCCTTCGGTTGCACCGTGCCCAGACTGCAACGGTAAGCGCCGGGCACATACTTATAAAGACGGCTACAAGAAGGCAAGTCCGTCCGATATTCCGGATGAGAAGAAGGTCAAACCGACCGATATTCCGGTTGAGACAAAGCCGGAAAAGAAGATCGCCAGCGGAGATGCCAAGATCGATCCGCCTAAGCTGACGACGCCACCTCCGACATTCCGGAGGAAGGAAAAGTCGCCTGATTTCGGAATACCTTTTGAGCATTTTTCGATTCCGAGTTCCAGTTCAGGAGCAAAGAAAAATCCTGATGCTCCTGCACCTGAAGAGCCGGAGAAGCCAGAGCCTCAGGAAGAAAAGCAAGATGAAGTCGAACCAGAGCCAACCATTGAACGAAGAAGAGAAGAAAGATCCCAAGGTTTCCATGACTTTGCCGTTGGCTTTGCAGAGAACTCATGAGAAGCTGTCACATCCAACTGAACTTTTGAAACTGCGTTTGAAACGTTACCACACGTCGACTGAGCAGTTGAAGAAACGGACTTCAGCATAGGAGGAATACGACAAAGTGGTCAAACCGTGTGAGACACGCAGAAGTCTAAGATAGCACCATCTAGATCAATAATTTCAGGCATAAGAAGCGAAACGTTCGATGAACTCACCTCTCGATCACGCCGAACTCGCTACCAACGAGAGTCCAAACTTTTGTTCTTGATTGCTTATGATGGTGCCACTTCTTTGACCACTGTCTATGTATGTAACTGCAAAACAGAAGCAGAAACCATTGGACATCTTTTGAGACGCTTGCACTGTTCATCTAAGCGCAGCGGCTCAGTTACAAGCTTTGAACGAAGGTAGACAACATGTCCACTACCCACAATATCTCTTCGGACCTGGACACTGGCCGGACCTGGGAAGTCGACTAAAGCTTCCGTTTTGCCAGTTTGCATTTTTCGGCAGAGCCCAACAAACCATCATGCCCCCCGAGTTCAAGGGTGTCAGAAAATTGACGAGCGCTGGCAGAGCTAGCCTATCCAGCAAAAGTTCTGACATATCATTGACCACACAAGATGGACAAAGGAGGCGACGATGGACGCTCGGCCGCCATATTCATGGTTCCGGAGCAAGAGAAGAGAGAGAAGATGCGCCAGAAGATCTTCAAGTTCAAGAATCGGACAGCGGGGCCTGTCGCCGAAAACACGGTCAATGTGGCCATTGCAAACATCCGTTCACATGTATTGGCAAGGTGTTGTGGCTAACTAGGCATCATGACGCCACTTTCAATGCGAATGCGTTGTTGGCATGATAATTGCAGATGTCAGCGGAACCTCCTCAAAAGGCACGGAGTTGCTGTCGAACTCCAGCTCTTGATCTGCTCGCTTCCTCCTCTTCCAGCCACTGCTGGCGCGTCTCCTGCCCGCAACATGCCCCAGCTCACCGTTCACAAGGGTCTTCACCAAGTGGGGGGTGTAGTTTCACCCTGGAGAGGAGTTGGAGTGGCATATTACTCAACACGGCGCTGGTCCAGATGGACCTGAGCGACCTCCGGGCGATTGCAGAGCCAGCTAGACCCAGCCTTCATTAATTTGCTCTTCAAGCTCCACGGAGTAGTGTGGACACCACCTTCCGCCTCCTCTTCCATGACCTGGTTTGAAGCTTGGACAACCGCCTCAGAGTGTCCGACATGGCAGGCTCGAAAGAAGAACCACAGGTCGCGCAGGCGGAAGCCCCACCCAAGGGAGGTGAGATCAAAGCCTGTCTAGCCTGAGCCTACCTGAGTGCTTCCGTTAGTTCAGTGGAAGCCTGCGAGGCACTTATCCTCCCATTGCGTTCTAGCCTGGGCTGAGGCGGCCTGGTGACACTGTGTGTGTTGATCGTCGAAACGACCCTTAAGTCTTTCTGACAATGTTGTACACAGTTTCCAGAAGTTTCCTTGAAGAGCCTCAAGTTCATGTCGAAGCTTCTGAAGCTTCCTGTTTTGGATCTAACAAAACAGCCACTAGGTCCAACCGTCCAACCCCTCCTGACCCCTTTTTCACGGCCAACCCTTCCCTGAGCGCAGCGGACGTACAGGTAGGTATAGCCCAGCCAGTTCACAGCATCCTCACGGCGTTTTTTTCGGAAGCGAGAGACGCAAAAAGAAAGCTTTGAGAGACGCAAAAGTGAGAAAGCGCTAAAGGATCCAATGCCAAACAAACAAGCTTGACAGCCTCAAAGCTCTTCAAACAAGTGTTGCACTGCGATGTTAGTCTGTAACCAGGAACGACAATTCTCGGGTGAAGCGAGTAAAACGCTTCTCTTGCTCTTATATTTGTGCTTCCCAAGTCCTGACGTGTCTGAATTGTTCCAAGCACCAGCTCGGCGTTGACCATGTCTGGAAGGATACTGAGAACCTGTGAACGCAACCGAACTCGAAAATACAGTTGGTTGGGCGAGCCATAACATTGGTTGGGCGAGCCGGTTGGGCAGTTCCGCCCGTTCCGGTTGCCTGCGACTCAATGGGCAACTGCTGGTTCATCAATGAGAGGTAGTACCTTCGAGTCCAGAACCCACCCGCTCTCCCCACCCCCTCCCTACTGAATTAACTAGCTAGCTACTGAACATGGACGCTGGATAGCCCGATAGCTCACGCTTCAAGGAAGGCGGCGGGGGTAGCTTCGAAGAAGCACTCGCAGTATTCGGAAACTGCGAAGAGTTTCGCTGTCTAAAGCTAAAGTGGTGCCTGGTGCGTCTCACCCTTGCAAAATGCAATGGGTTGGGATTTGTTGAACAGGAATCACGACAAGGCCGCAAATAATAAAAACACAAAGCAACTATAAGCAACTGAAGAAAACTACATAAATAAGAAAACAACTGAGGACAACGGAATATAACGGTATCCCGTTCAAAAAATGACAGGCCGACGGGATTTGGGCATCCGCTATCGTTCACCTGTCGGCTGAACAGTCTACATCAGGGAGATCTGTCCTGGCCCGTTTTATGACTTCCATGCATAAACCACAATGGTGTCTATTGGTTGGTTTCAAGATGCTCAATGTCTTCCTTGCGAATCGTTTCACTGGGAATCGTTTCATCTGTAGCAACAATAAAGCTTTCTAGTATGCCTTTGAAGCTTCTTAGTAATAAGGTTTTCTGGTAATTAGAAGCTACTAGGTGGAGGCCATCGCTACTAGTAACAAGAAAACTTTCTAGTAACTAGAAGTTTCCTTGAAAATGTTTTCTTATCTTTCTTCAATGCTTCTCATGGACGACAACGGTGTTTTCATCGTGGTCACTCATGGTCGTCCTTAGAATTTTTTACACAGGACGACTCTTTGCTGTGATTGTTATCCTTGGTTTCTTCGTCTTTTCTTGTCTGTTCTTTGAGGTAGCAAAGATTTAGCTGAACCAAGAGTTAGAATGAAACAGAACATTCAATGTTTTAAAATGTTAACTTCTTTAAAAACAATTTAATTAAAAAAGGTTTTCAGAACGTTTTCGTTTTCGTTTTTCGTGTTTCGTTTCGGTCACTGCAATTCGCTGTGTTGAGTGATGACGATGCCATGGCCCGTCTTGTCGTACTGAGGGCGTCCGGCTCGACCGAGCATTTGCATCCTGGAAAAGCGCAAAAAAAACGCACAAGAAAAGCAGTATGTTTTAGATGACGTCTAATTTGATTAAGAAAAGCACCTGAAGTCTAATCTAATTCAAATTAAATTCTATTTATTGTTTCTAATGGCTTCTTGTTACTACTAGTAAGGCACTTGTTACTAGTAGCTTATTGTTTTCGAATAGCTTCTTGTTACTACTAGCAAGGCACCTGTTACCAGTAGCGATGCACTTGTTCCTAGTAGCTTATTGTTTTCTAGAAGCTTCGTTACTACTAGTAAGGCACTTGTTACCAGTAGCGATGCACTTGTTCCTAGTAGCTTATTGTGGCTAAAAGCTTCTTGTTACTACTAGTACGGGCACTTGTTACTAGAAGCGATGCACTTGTTCCTAGAAGCTTATTACTTCTAATGGCTTCTTGTTACTACTAGTAAGGCACTTGTTACTAGAAGCGATGCACTTGTTCCTAGTAGCTTATTGTTTCCCAAAAGCTTCTTGTTACTACTAGTAAGGCACACATGTTACTAGTAGCGATGCACTTGTTCCTAGTAGCTTATTGTTTTC